TTATTTGTTTATTTTTATGAAATTAAACCATAAGCTTATTCCTCATGATGTTAATTATACTCAATTATGTTATTATAAATATAAATAAAAATAAAAAAATTAAAATATTTTAAATTATTTAATATAATAATATTTTTGAGCTTCTATTGGTCAAGTATTTATTATTTTTATAGAATACAAAATTACAATTACAATTAAAATTAAAATTAATATTAAAATTATAATTTTATATGGTTAATATAATCTCTAATTATGTTCATATTCAAATAAACTTATAGAGAGAATTTACATAATTACATTGATTTATTCTTAATTGTATTTCATCTATATTATAATTTTCACAATACGAATAATAACTAAGATAATTACATTTGGAAAACAAATTTCAAATTTTATATGTGTAAATTTAAACTCTAATTGAACACATTTTTTATATTATTATATAATATATAACTTTTTTATTTTTCAAAAGTATATTTTTATATGATTATATAATATATAGCTATTTTATTTTTTAAATGTTGTGCTTTTTTTAAAAAAAGTAATAAAAGATGTTGTGGCATTAATTGTAACATTAATTATTTCTCAAAATATATAGCTTTATTATATAAAGGATTTATTTTGATGTTATTCTAATTTTTCTTTATTTTTAATTATTATTTATAATTTGTTATTAATTAGATAAAAGTGATGAGCCGGAGATATTGAAGACGAGATTGAGATACTGGGCGCGGATGGTGGCATGTTCGATGCGACAAAATTCACCAATTTTGTGATCACAACCAATTCTGGACGGAGTAAATTTTTTTATATATATTTTTTGGAACCAAAATTGTAAATTTTCTAATATAATGGTAATTCGCACAATTTTGACTTGGATTCAATTGAAAAAAGAGTAGCATTACTATTTTGAGTATTTTCCCCAAAGCTCTTCTCTACTTAAAAAGATTTTTGAAGCAAAATCTCGCGACGTCTTAAAATTTTTCTTTATTTTTTAGCACAACTTATTTTTGAAGCTGCTATATGCATTTTTTTTAAATACTTTTTGAAAATACAAATATCATTTTACAAAAGAAAAAAAAAATCACAACATTCTCCTGTTTTGCACATTAATCATATTATTTATGCTCTTGCTAATAAAAATCATTTTATTTTATATAAAAAGATACAATATTTTTCTTTGTGGAACACTCTAGAGCTAGATTTTTTCTATAAATTTAAAATCTTTACGTAAAGATCAAGTTACAACCGTATCAAACATAAAATTTATTATTTTACTAACTAGAAAATATTTGTTCTCAATACATATTGATAATATAATGGCCCAAACGCCCAAACGGACTAATAACGTTGAATGTCCAAAATAGATATCGCTATGTGTTTGTTGTTAATAATTTATATATTTTAAATAAATTTAAAGTACATAATATCTTAATTACATATAACATGGTAATAAGTATAAACACATAAATTGTTTATTGCAAAAATATAATATGTTAATTGCATATACATAAGATGTTGATTAACATGTTATATGCCAATTGTTAATATATTATATATCTGTAATTAATATTTTGTGTATGTAGTTATCATGTTATATATTTGTAATTATCATGTGATATGTCTTTATTTTATTTGCAGGTACATAAACGATTAATGTATTTACATAATATGTCAAAATTAGAGATACATAATATAAATGTTAATTTTAAATTATGACTCACAATGTAAGGTAGACCTTATCTTCTATTTATGGTATAATAAGCGTGGTCCTTAGAGTTAATTCAATCAAAATCATTGCGGATAATTAAGGTAGGGTTTACGCATTAAAAAAATGCAAAAAATAGTGATTTTACAATTATGGTATGTTAATCATGTCAACTTCAATCATTTTCTCTTTTCTTAATTACATCCTCATCCCATTAATTATGCTATTATACCATAAATATTGAATTACGATTAAAATACATAATTACCATATACATTATATCTCATCTACTATAAATAATTTTTTTTTTTTGAAAGGGAATAAGAATAACTTTATTAAAATAGGTGCTCAATACAAAAAGGAATCACTGATAACCAACACAACGAACCGGGCTGAGAACGAGTATAAATAATTATGATAAAATAAAAATAAAATAAAATAAAAAAACTTAAAGGGATCAACTTAATGCACATCAATACGACTGACGTCATTGATCTTCATCCTCTAATTAGAGATGTCAATTTAGCCCGCACGGGTTTAGCTTAATGGTTCAATGACAGTATTTGGATAGATTGATAATTATGTTCAAAGTGGATAGATTCTTTGTGCGCATCGGCATTTGGCCCTGTCCGCAAATCATTGAGTCACCGTGATTTACATCCTCTCAAATGCTCTGTCGGGCCGAGTTGGGGATTCAACTTTTTGGGATAAGAGATGTCAGTTTAGCATGAAATTGATGATTGACCTAATAGGATTGAAAAATTTAAGGTTAGAGATGAAATATTTTAACCGATAAAAAATCAGTTTTACAAACTCCATAAGTTCGGTGGCTCGAACGAGCTATCTTGAAATTTAGTGGGCTAACCTGATAGCGCGAACTACTTAAGACAATTCTTTGTTACATAGGTGATATAGAGTTAAATATACATGTAGTTTATACATAAATGTATCTTTAATATTTTTTTATTATAAATTTAAATATTCAAAAACAAAAGTATTTTTTATGAAAATAAATAATGATAAATAAAAAATACTATAAATATTATATAGCGTAAGCATATTAATTATTATTTTTGTTGAAATTTTGAATTGAGATTTAGATTAATTGAGTAATGTATAAGTTTATATTTGTTAGTGTAAACACGTTGTTTATTAAAATTAAAAGTTTAGAATGTTAATTTTAAAATGTCAAATATTTTAGTTGAGCTTATTCGATAAGGCTGACATCTTTAAGTTTTAAGATTAGGACAAAAACATTTGAACTAGACAAAAAAAATAATTGATTAGTCCGAGCCAAGGTTAGGCCGAAACGGAACAAGTTGGTTTAATTGACATCCATACCGCTAGCTCTCAACACAAAGTGTACATCTTTAAAACATAGTGAATTTGACTTTACAAGGTTAAAAAAAACTTGTGATTTTCACCTTATACTCTCTATGAGAAATCCTTGTGCCTATTTATTTTCTTCAAAATTATTATAAACTAACATTAGTGTAATATAATATGTGGAGTTTGGTACACAAAGTTGTTTGTCCGAACTAATTACAGAGAAACAAATCAAGCAGCAAAAATTATTGAATAATCTATAGGCTGTTGTATGGGTGGAATTAGAAAAATTGAATTGTAAGGCTAAATTTATAGAAATAATTTATAATGTCAATTGACATCAATATCAACTGTACCTACTATAACATGATTGTGTAAATTATTATTGTAATAATTTTTATTTATATTTTACCTAATAATATATAAAATACATAATTATATGAGTATGCTCGAGGCTCATTATTACTTTAGAATTTTCATATACCACCAAAAATGATTTTATAATTTTATAATTTTTTTTTGGGTGAGATGGATGGACCAAAAGGTCCCAGAAAGAGATTAGAAGATTCTTCTAGTAATAATTTTATAATGTTTTAAGGTATCATGCTTTGTACAATGAAATCTTTAAAGGGAAAATGACATTTTCCCCCTTTAAGTTAAATACTTATAGCATTTTTTCTGAATTATTTATTTAAGCATATTAGCCCCCTCAATTATTTTAAAAGTGGTTGATGGGGTGAGGACTCCGGCCCAAGAAGAAGGGCCCAAAAGAGGAGTCCAGAAAGAAAGATATGGGCCAGTAGCGAAAAGAAGCCTAGTAAAAAGCTCGGGCCGAGTCCAGGAGTCGGCCTAGGCCCAAGCGTGGACAGAGACTCGACCCTGAGCCGTTAAGGAACATTGAAGAGCCTCATTTAAGAAGACTCGGCCCAGAGAGCCGTTGAAAGGCGTTCCAAGCGTAGCTTTTAAGTCGGTCCAGGAGCCGTTGGAGGCATTAAAGACAGGACTCGGTCAAGCAAGCAGTTATGAATCCATAGAGCCGTTGGCCGGCCCGGTAACGGCGCCCAACAGTTTAATAATTGTAATTAGCTTTAAAAGCCATGATTAATGTCCCTCAAGTCGGGCGGAGAGAAGCCTACTATATAAAGGCCTCTCCGCCTTTGTAATCGGGGCGAGTCCATGCCCAGAGAATAAGATATACACACTTCCTAGCTTTTCGACTACTCTTTTGCGATCACTTTTGAGAAAGGTGAATCCACCAACCAAAGGTTGTGTTGGACCTCCTTGGGCCTGAAAACCCAAAAACCAATAGTGGCGCTTCCCCCCCCCCCCCCCCCCCCCCCCCCCCCCCCCCCCCCCCCCCCCCCCCCCCCGATATATTAAATTAACATTTCTACTATTAAAGTAAATATTTTATTTATTTTTCTTCTCTAACAAATCATTGCGTATATGTAGGGATAACCACGGTTCGGTTCTAACTGAATTGAATACTATAACAATCGAATTAAAAGTTTCCGGTTATGATTCATATCCAGAACCCAAATATTTAAATTTTAGTTTATTAAAATTATTAATCGAAAAAATTAGATCCTGAACTGTGAACCGACAGTTCTGGATCTGGTTCGCGATTTAGAACTGTCTTCATTTTAAAATAGTAAATGTATTTTATTTTTTCAGTTCACAACATGAATAGGCCGTTCTGGTTCGCAATTTTAATAAACTCTAAATATCGGGTTTCGATTCTAAATTGTAATTGAAATATTTCGATTTGGTAGCTATAGTGTTTGTATGGTTTGAGCCAAATTGTGGTCATTAGAAAAAAAATAAATGAAATATTTATTTTAAAAATAAATATGTCCATTTAACGTCTCAGAAAATAACTACTTAAATAATTCAAACAAAAAAGTGCTATAAATATATAATCTAACTGGAAAAATTGCTATTTTCTCATCTTTTAAAGAACAATACAAATGAAAAAGCAGTTGCTTGATAGATGCTTATGTATGTTTATAATAATTTCCAATACTAGAATAATTAAAACAAAGATACATCTGCGAGTACAAGGTTTTGTTCGTGTCTATTTTGTTGTGCTCAACTCCTTCAACAGGGCGTTTAGAGCAGAGTAAGACGATCCACCAGGTTCAATGGCGTTCAGTGCTTTCTCCTTCAGGCTTCTCGCTCGACTCCTAAACCCCTCCGCTTCTTCACCCACCATCACTCTCACCACCGCCTGCGCCACCGCTTCCCCCTTCACATCCGCCGTCACTCTGCTCCACTGCTTCGCCCCAACCTCAACTCCCACCTTCAAAACTCTACTCACCAGTTTCTCGTTATAGAATTGCTCCGCGAACATCGGCCATGTAACCATTGGCACCCCCGCGCATATTCCTTCCAGAGTCGAGTTCCACCCGCAATGGGTCACGAATGCTCCCGTGGCTTCGTGGTCGAGGATCAGCACTTGCGGGGCCCACCCTCGGACAATCATGCCTTTCCCTCGTACCCTCTCCTCGTACCCTTCCGGCAGCCATTCCTCGTTTTCTGGGTCTTTGTCGTCCTTACGCACCACCCAGATGAAGTGCTGCTCCGATGCCTCTAACCCCACGGCGATTTCGTGGAGCTGCGAGGATGTGAAGTGGGACATGCTTCCGAAACATACGTAGATTACAGAATTTGGTTTCTTGGTGTCCAGCCATTTCAAGATGTCGTGTCGGTTTTCGGTAGATGGGGGTGGTGTTAACAACGTTGTTGTTTTTTCCCGTAGGGCTTTCTCTTCGATTTTTGTGTTGCAGAGGAGAAGAGGGCCGATATGCCACGCTCTTTTCCCCAGTACTTTGGTATAATACTCGGCATACTCGGGTTCAAGCTCGTAGACGCTATTGACGATAACTCCATAGCTTTTGGACTCTGATTCCTTAACTTGTTGAAGCAATTTGGTCATATACGTTTCAGAATCCTCGCGGTCGTGGCGGGACAACTGGGATCTCGTGAGATAGATTTGGTGCGGGAGATCCGGGACGAGGAAAGGTTCCAAGTCCGAGGAAACGTTGTGGTGAGGTTTGTAGGCCCGCACGTTTTCGGCGGCGCACAGCGCGAAGTAGCCGATTCCGTGGAACACCAATCTGGGGATGCCGAATTTGGCGGCGGCGTGGGTGGCCCACGGGAAGAACATGTCGGCGACGAGGGCGTTGGGGCGGCAGTCTTGGAGGAGTTTCTCCAGCGGCTCTTGAAGCATGGCGGTGGCTTTGAAGAATTTGGGGACCAGATCGTCGGAGGTGAGCTGGTCCATCCTCTCGCACCCTTCCGGCAGCCCGGCCTCCGCCGCCGGGAACCTGATCGCCTGGAGGGCGATTTCGATGCCCAGATGGTTGATTTGTTGGATGGCTTTGGTGAGGTAGGGGACGTTGAGAGGGGTGGTGATGACGGTGGCTCTGGCGCCGCGGTACACGAACAGCTTCGCCATGTCCAAGGTGGGGATCATATGGCCATGAGCCATCATAGGAAACAAGAAAATATGAACCTCATCCATTGAAGCTAGCTTGAATCTCTGGGTCTCTCTCTCTCTCAATCAATGGCGGAAAAATTACGAATTTTTGTAGTGGGGAAGCCTATTAAAGCTTCTTACAGTTACTGGAAAAGTGAAGAGATTCTTCGTTCTCTCCGGAGAAGCTAAGGATTTGATGTCACTGATGACACCAATATAAATGAATAATATACATGAAAGTCTTGGTAGTATCAAACAATTGAGGGAACATAGCACCGCCGGTAGTTAATGTTGCTTCAATATGAAGTATAGGCAATTAGGCATGGAGATACCGAAAGCAAGATAAGGTATATTTAATATAGTTGGAGTTTAGTTGTGTAGTTAACTAGCCAAGGGAAAGAAGGCACGCAAGAAAAAGAAGATGTGCCACCTGATGCTCTAAAGTCTAAACCCGTGACACGTTTTTTTTTTTTTTTGTTTTATTTCGATGACATATCATTAAAGCAAGATGATAATTGTTTGGCGCACCAAAAAAAGAAGAAGATGATAATTGTTTGATGTGACATTGGTTAAAATAAAATTTGTTATTATCATCGATTATTTTATAAATTAACTGATCATAAACGTATAAGTAAATGGAAAATACTTGGTGTACTTTCATTTTAAATTTTTAATTTGTATTTTCTCTCACATATTTTTGATGTAGACATTTTTCCGTGGACTTACATGATGAAAATAATCAATCATGATTTACCACCTCAGAGAGTATAAATGAGGAGTAGAATTTTATGAGTCTATGTAGTAGAACTCTAAGTAAATATAATAAAGTATTTAATAAAATATATTTTGATGGTTTTATAGGAATCGGGTATGGGAGTGTAGAACACGGGCGGAAAAGTAATAGATTTACCTATTAAAAATAATGCGTAAAAGCCCGAGATACTCGCCTAAATATACAAAGGATGGGCTATAGCCGAATATGTTACTGAGAGGAATTGAACCCAAACAGATGGATTGAGAGAATGAGACCAGAACCGCCGCTAGACCATAGTGCTTGTTGTGTCTCTTGTTGTCCCTCGTTAGGAATCCAGATCCCCTATTTATAGTGTACTCTCCCTATCCTCTGCCGTCCACGTGTCCCACGTAACACTGCTACGCCCGCGACTTTCCGCGTCCATCGGAGCACGTACGCCCGAGAGCTGTGTCGATGCGTTGTGCCACCCCGCACGCGGCCCCATGGTACCGCGCGCCGCCTCCCGTGCGAGGGGGCGCTGGGCGCGCCGTCGCCAGCTGGGGGCAGCACCGCAGCCGGCGACCCCCTCCGGCCACCCTTCCTACGGCACCCCACACCATCGGCCTGCTCCCCCTTCGATCCATCTACGGCCCAATAATATCGGCCCACTGCGTCTAATTATGATGTGCATCCGTATGCACCATGCACCATGCATGGTGCATACTGATGCAAAAACGACGTCGTTTTGCATCAAAACGCGCATCCTACTTTTTAAAAAAATCAGTTTCGATTCCCAGCAACAATATTATGTTATTCATTTTTTAGTTCATTCATTCTGGATTTGTAGTTATGAAATTCTGGATGTATAGTTATGCAATTCTGGATGTATAGTTATGCAATTCTGGATGTGTAGTTATGAAGTTATGGATGTGTAGTTATGCAATTCTGGATTTATACTTATGAAGTTATGAATGTGTAGTTATGCAATTCTTACATGTGAGTGATTTTATGATTTGTGCAGATGATGACGGATTAATAAGAATGAATGGATAGTTGGACGGAATTTCGTGGGGGAGAGTCAGATGTCAATTTTTAAGTAGTTACTAGTAAGTGTCTCGTGCAATGCATGGACTATTATTAATTTAACAAATGAGTAAATTACACTTTTGGTCATATTACTATAAAGGGTGTGTTAATTTCGCTCCATAACTTTTAAAATTAACAATTTAGTCCTTTTAATTATGCTTTTTTTTAGCATATTTGGTCTTTCCGGCCAAATCATTGGTAGAAATTGGTCGGAAAAACTTGAACCTTTTTAAATTTTTTATTCATGAGAATAAGAGTCTTTTTACGTATATATGGGGATGGGGTACGAATGTACGATGATGGGAGTGGGGGCAGTGGCAAATTATTGTATGGACCATGATCCACACAATGTTATATGGACCATAACAAAAAGTATATTTTTAATATATTGAATGTACATTATACAATATAATGTACATTCAGTACAAAAATAATGTGCATCCCCTGAATATAATGTACATTATTTTTGTACTGAATATACATTTTTTTTTTTACTGAATGTATATTATTTTATCATATACAAAATATGGTCCACACAATAATGATTGAGAGGCACTTGCCCCCGAACTGCCCATTATAGATCGGCCCATGATATTAGCAACGATATGAAGCATTCAATTTAATATTATAATCAGGCCCACGCAATACATTTATTCTCATATTGTAGGCCTAAAGATTACCTTTCTTTGATGGCATTTTTGGATTTCTAACATATTCCTTGCACCTCAAAACCAACCTATCTAATAGCAATTCCCTTATGTTGAATTACGGAAAAGTTCATAACTGCTTTTTCAAGGTGTATCGAGATGAAGTTCGCCTTATAATCTTAATCGACAAAAAATCAGAATGAAGTAAAATAGCTTAGATTGTCCATATCCGGCTCAGATCAAGAAATCGAATATACTACATAAAATCAAATATGAAACATTGTGGTTGTCCATAAAATAATTGTCTTTCTTGCTTTATTTAGTTTGCAACCTTTAATTTAAAGGGAAAAGGGTCAAATAAACCCTCTAATATTAGCCAAAAGTGCAATAAAGCCCTCCAACATTAAAAAAGTTCAATTGAACACACAAACTTGTCAAAATAAATAGATCAAATAGACCATGTTTACTGGTAATGGTTATTCACCGCCCAAAATGCTTAACTTACAGCAACCTTCGCCTGAAAAATGACCATCACCTTCGCCGGCACAACCAAACCGTCTGTTTTGGTTCTGTTCATCTTCTCCGGTGGAGAAAACGAACGGTCCGGTCGTCTTCTCCAACCGTCGTCTCCGTTCGTCTTCTCCAGTTCCGTTGGAGAATTCGAGTAGATGTTTGGAGCAGACGCCAACGGAGAAGATGAGCAGATGTTTGGAAAAGATGCCAGTAGCATGACGCTCGACGGCGCCGGAATGTTGAACGGAATTTCCATGACCGGTTATTTCAAGTGAACAACCGGTCATTTGGGTTTGAATGAATCAAAATGACAAATTTGTGTGTTCAATTAATTTTTTTTTTTTAAATGTTGGAGGGCTTAATTGCACTTTTAACTAATATTTCAGGGTTTATTTGACCTTTTTCCCTAATTTAAATTGTCAATACATACAATATTTCAACACAACAACATTAACTAAATCTACTACAAATCCGCAAATGCACTGCATGCATTATATATACCCACATCGTCTTGGAACGGTCCATGTTTGTAGCCTGGATGTCCTCTCGTTGCTGCCCAATCCCATATAATTCTTCCAATCATCAATAACCATTTTAAGGTCATGAATTTTGTTGTCAAGACCAAAACAACAATTGGCATGCATCGTGCACACCAGATTAAGGTCTGAGTTGGTGTCACAAAACCCTCCGAAGTAAGCCGTGTTCAGAAACCTTATTTTAAACCCAATCTGTTTAATGAAAGGATAAAATTTGATTATGTTTAGCACGTCCTGTTCGTTCTTCCCCGGAAAAGCTTCCCTCGATTTGTACCAGAATTTGAAAAATTCGAGGGAGCGGTTGTTTGATGTTACGTAGTTGAAGCCGGCGTTTGGGGAGTTGTTTAGGTCGGAAGAGTCAGACCAGTGGTGGTCGCATGCGATTTGAAAGTCGGTGTCCGGGTAGAAATGTGAGAATGGTTGGCGAAGCCACATTATATCAGCGTCCTATTAAAAAATATAAAAATTCATGTAAGACAGTCTAATATAAAACTGTTAAGATGAAACGTTTATTATTACAACAAAAGCTAGAGCTTATAATGAAGGTGTAATTTTATTTTCTTATATCTCCATCACATTTAAGAAAGAGATGGTGCTAGATTTGACCATTCACTGGTCTCGGCCAAAGAATCCCCTAATTACCAATTGCTAGACTTGGCGTGCTTACCGCTACTCAAAAGTTATAGCTTACGGGGTAACCCTAACCAAGATAGCAAGAGATCTACGCTTGTAATCATAAGGTTACGAGTTCGAATCCTTTGCTCCTTGGTTTGAGCCGGTGAGTCAGTTATGGGTAACCTAAACTAGTTTAGTTCCTTGCAATGTTTTGACGGGTAGGGATATAAGGCGGAATTTACCCACACTTCAAATCTTTGTAGGATTTTTCTGGTCATCTACAAAAAACAGTTATAACTTATAACAAATGCTCAACTTTATTTACTTAGTGATCACATTTTCGAGAGACATGATGTTGAACTTGACCTTCACGATCTCCGCCCAATAATCTGATCTCTTATCTACCCATTGCTAGATATGCTAATATATATGTATGTATGTATGTATCTACCTACCGTAAAAATGAAGCTATATCCCATTTCGAGAACCATCCGCAAAAAGTCAATCCTCCTCCACATCATCTTCAAGTAGTCTTGGCTCATGAAATGCGCCTCGCCGGAGAAGTCAACTCCGCCGGTGCTCAAGGCGTAGCAATGAGGGTGTAACTCACGACAGCGAGCGTAAGCGGTTTTGTCCAAGGCCACCACTACCACGTGCTTCAACAGCCCTTCTGTTTGGTTCCCAATCCTAAAACTCTCCAAAAACAGATCAAATATGCTGCCCGACCTTGTCCATGCTGCGTTTAAGGTTGTTATGATCACTGTTCTGTTTGCCATAGCTGCCTTCTCCAACACTTTCTCTACACTCTTCTCCACCACCTTGTCCTAGTTAATATTTTTACAAATGAAATTCATAAGAAGATAATTAAATGGCTTATTAATTATTATCTCACTGCTTTTAATTTGTATCATTTTTTTAGTTATTAAAATTAAATCTACGGTACATACTCAGATTAGTCTTCTAGTGCTGGGAATATTAATTTTTTCGTAGGAGAAATGATTTTGAACTCTCTATCTTTCTTAAAGAATGAGAGTACACTGTCACTGCCAACTAAATTAATTGTATGTTTTAATATTTGACTTGAGCAACCATCACCTCCCCATAAAATTTCAAATATATATA